GCTGCTGAGTTTGGTCTGGGACTTTTCCAGACCAGCATGCTGTGAAGTCAGCGCTGGGTACTGTGATCCAGTATTTGTAATGCCCACAATTGAGAAAGAATGAAGACAGCCAGACGTCCTGTCTATTTACTCAGCCTGGGGTGGGCCTCTGCACCACGATCCCTTGAGTGTCAGTTCCAGCGTTAGTATGGACAAACTGAACTCAAATTAATTTTTCCCAGCCTTCTTTTCTAACGCATGAACAGAAAGACCACCTGGCTAAAGAGTTACATTAAACATGGTATAAAAGTCTTTATTCAGTACAATTTGTAAGGAAATAAAGGCATTTTCAGAAAGCTAAATATCATGTTTTGAATACTTGTGAATTTAAGGTTAAGCACAAACAGAATTTTGTGCTAATGATTTTTCCAAAGTCATATTGATTTGTAGCTCAACAGTAAGTTTATAGCAAGAATTTATTTTAGTTATAATGAACAAATAGTGCAAGTTTGTGTCCTGGGTGTGTGCGCGCAGACACACCCCCCGCCACCTTCACCCTCAAAAAAATTGCTGGTGTATTTCATTTCAGGTAATGTAGCAGCAGTGTTCAAACTCTTATTCCAATACGGGAATGTCTTTTGATAATAGTCCCATTGTTGAAACAGTCTTCATTCAGATTAGATGTTTAGTTAGATTTTTAAGACTGTTTTGTATTACTCGGTTGTCTGAACAGACTGAGTCACATCACCATGTGGCATCAGGCCTAACTTTGTACAAGGGGAACATGTAAATTTTATTTTAGAACTTTTTCATCAGATGACAAAGTTCTGGTTGCCATCTTTCAACTTGCATGTTATAGTGTATGAGTAAAGTGGATTTATTTATAATTATTTATTTAAAATTAAGATATTATTTAGTTTCAGTTTTCATAATAAATATTTTTTTCTCTTTTCCCTGTCAACACGTTGGCTTTGTCTTTCAGCAGATATGTGTTGGAAGATCAGCTAAAATAATGTATTGCAATAGGTTATTATTCATAGCATAGCTTAGGGTTTAGAAAGGACTTAAAATTCACTTTAAACTATTTGCCATAGCTTTTGCATTTTTGAGGATCTTATGCATCTTTCCATAAATGTCAATTACCTAGATAATTTTTTTTTCATTTATACAAGAATTCAAGTGCACATGTGCCTGTAAAAGGGAAAAAGTTTGTAGATGTGCACTTTCAATAAGAGTGTATATTTAACTGAGAAATCATGTTGGTGAGCAGTCCTAGTTTAAGTATGCATGATACTGTAATGTAGTTTAATCATACAAGACTTTTTCTGTGATCTTGAGCTGTGTTTTTACATAGTGCGTTCTTTGGCATTTAGTAGGAATGCTAAAATGGATTTATGCATATCGCTTTTTTTCCATGCAAGAACAATTATAGTCAAGACTGGGAGTATGCGTTAAGGAAACTCATTCTAGGAATTTTATTACTAGGAAGATGTTTTCTCAAAACTGAACATTACCAACAATCAAAATTAAAGTTGCATTTAAAAGAAATTTTTAAGTATTTTATGGTATGGAAATGCACAGTGGAGCCATACATTTGCTGCTTAGTGATATGACAATAATGTAAAAAATGTACAAGAAGATGTTTTAGTGTTAATGGCCACAGATTAATTTCAGCTCCTTTTTAGACTAAATGTTTGGGGCTTATTTTTTCCCTTCTCATTACATCATTACTAGGCAGGCTTGTTATCTGTCTGGAAACTTTGGAGAAATTGTTGTGGGGGGGATTTTTTGTTTGTTTGTTTGTTTTGTTGGTGTTGGTTGGGGTTTTTTTGTGGGGGTTTCTTTTGGAGGGTAGGGGTTGCGGGGGTGGGTGTGGGAGTTTTTTTAAGTTATCTAGATTGTGTCCCACATGGTGCCCCCCTCAACAGAGGTAGAGAGGTGAGAACTGTTTGTCACAGAATAAGTTTTAGGGGTTTTTAAATGGCATCAAAAATGGATTCATTTATATATTTTCTGTCATTGTTTTAAACCAAAAACTACTGCATCTGTGGTTCAAAACATGTTTTACATTTAGGGAGGAGAAAACAAATATATATGTTTTTAAAGTATTTTAAAATTGCAGTCTTTGCTTTAAGCATAAACTGAAACTTCATCTGTATATTTCATACTCATACGGGCACATTCTGTCAGCTTTCTGTACATGAATGTTAAGGATTAGTGGTTCGACTAACTACTACTTAGCTAGGGTGAGAGTGGCTATGAGAGGTAAGAGGGCAGTGGGCATGCTGGGCACTACCTCCAACCCAAAACCCCTGGAGTTTCCTCCTCACTTGCCTCTGTGTGAGGCAACTAGTGTCCATTTAAACAAAGTTGGCAGGAGTTGAAGAGTCCCCTTCTGTTACTCAGGACAATGAAATGTCCTCTGTACTGAAGGATGGAAGTCTCTGATTCATTTATTTTTATTTTTTTCAACACAACATAGGACTTTCACTCCTGCTCTGGGCTAGTTTGCCTGTGCTAATGTAGTTGGAATGCAGCACTTCATACCTACTGGAAGGTAGTAAAGGCTGCATTCCCCGGGGATTATCTCCCATTTCTGGGGAGAGGGGAAGAGAAAAGAGGGGGTGACAGGGAGGATTTCTGAAGCTAGCTTTGTTTGCATGAATATTGCAGTAATTGAAATCAGTGGTAGTAACTCAAGGATTTCTGGCTCCCAAACACACTGAATTGGGGACTACTGTCAGTCTTCTATCTAACCTTTCATTTAAAATGTTTGCATTAGTGATGTGCTTTTACCTAGGGCTGTGGATCACTTGCTGTGGCTTCCCAAGCTGCAGTGTGCATGTGAATTCTGACGCTGTATTAGCTGGAAGACATTCAATGCTGTCATTAAAACTACTTGGTTAAAAGTAATAAAAGTTTTTGTATACCTGCACCACTTCAACTTCCAGTGTCATGTGGTGATTAGGAAATTCTTTATACCTGTATTGAAGAGAGGGGGAAAAAAAAGATTCCTTTAAATTCTCCCTATGAAAGGTGAGAGTTAGTTTTAAGCACATTGGTACTTGTGGCTTGCCATCTAGTACAACTCTTGAATTTCCAAAGCATGACTGTGGAAATCTACAGGCTGTGGGAGTCTACAGGTGGGATATTGGTGATTCTTTGCAATTGAAAATATTTCAGCACCTTCTTTGATAACATTCCTTATAAGCCTGGTGGAGGTGGAAGAAAAAGCTTTTGTCCCTGGGTAGAAAGGAACCACTAAGACATTATGGGAGCAGGGAGAATATCTTGCACTGCTCAGCCCGAGATGATTGCTTGCTCTGCTTGTTCTAAAAATGGAAGATAGATTTTCTGTGTTCTTCCGACTTGTGAAGTTTCCAAATCTTTTACTTATTTGCACAATGAGTATTGTACATACCAGTCTGGGGTGTTTAGTAGATGTCCTGTTTGTTTCTACTGGCTAGAAGGTTTTTGGCTAAGGAACAGAGGAAGGAACTACTGTTGATATTTATAATTTAATTAATACTGCTTTAGGGAACACTCTTTTTATGTCATGGTGTAATATGGACATCTTACATGGAATCGATCTTTTTTAATGTTTTCTAACAGTTGTAGGTAAAAGATGTTAATGTCTGTAAAGTTTATAATCTGTATGTAATAATTCCTGAAATGAGAGACTTCATTGATTAAAAAGGAAATGCGTATAAAGTAATGCTGCTATCTTCTTCTTAATAGGGATGATGATGTCGCAGTTTAATATTTCTCAGAATTCCATGCGAGGTAGTCCTGCATCTTCTAATTATCAACAAACCACTATCTCACATAGCCCTTCCAGGTAACACTTTCTTTTAAATGGGGTGGGAGGGGCAACAAATTGCAAATTCTTCCTACAGTGACAGCCAATTCTTGATGCAAGTATGTGAATGGAAGATGATCAGTGTCAAGACAAATTTTGCATTTGACAGCAGGGTGATTTTATTCAGCTGGTAAACAAACATCTTTTTGTTAGCGAGTTAATCTTTGTATTCTGACTAGTCATGATTTCCTGCTTTCGCTCTCTCCCATAATTTTGGCAAACTTTCTTTCCTGCTTAAGGAATTCCCCTGGATCCTGCCACCCCTCCAGCTGTTCTCTACCTGTGGCAGAGGCTGAGACTATTGGCATAGAAGAGGATAGAATAGGTTATGTGTTCTGTCATGTATAACAGTACTAATATGACAGAAGGGTGGGAAAGAAGGCTTGTAAAAGCATGGAGTACTGCTGTAACAGTTATACAAAAGGCTGCTCAGAGGAGGATAGGCCCAGTAGTTTGGCCAGTCTTCCAGCAGCTTCCTCATTAACTTTCTGGTTCTTTTTCAAACCTTGAGTGTCAGCAAGTAGCATGTACCTATAATCCAGGCCTTTGTTAATATAATAGAGTACTTTGGACTAGAGAAAAGAGTTCTGCATGTAGTTTCAACCCAGTTACTGGGCTTTAACAGATTTCATCTCCAGTTATTAGATATCATTATTAAAATAAACTTAATTTCACTTCAAGTTAATGTAATTGTTTTGGCAAATGAAATGTTCTGTAACTGTCCACAAACCAGTATACTTTTTAACTTGTATCTAAAAGCGATATTGAGGAAGGTTTTTTGAATTGTGAATATTAAAATACACTAAGTCTTCTCAAAATCCTTGCAAAATCCTTGCGTTATATACTTTGCTATTTCTTTCTATGGAAGCTTACATCATAGAGTTGCTATCTAGAACGGAGGGTTGCAAAAGCGTGTATTGTACTTTCTGAAATATTTATTTGGTTTATTTTTATTTTGAAAAGCTCATATATGAATGTAAGTTATAATGTACATGTATTATTGCCATAAGCATATTTTTATGGCTTCCTATCTGTAGGATGAGTCTAAGATAAAGCCAGTGAAAGAATAAGTTGTATTCAGCGGACTTTGGGTCAGGTCCTACCTCACTGCCTATCACATTCCTGTATCTTGGCAGTGTAGTTCTGTTAGATGAAGTTCTTCAAAATCTTACTGGAAAAATGATATTTAGAGTAGATGGCTCCTTGTTAATCCTAGCAAGGTAGTTTTTATATTATAATTAAACTTAGCTGTCCCTTTCATTCAGACTTATAGGACTAACTCTTGGAAATTGCATATTTTAGTAAATCTGCAGATCTTATTTTAATAAATTTTTGTGTCATTGTTTCCTTTCCCTAGGTTGAGGTTTTATGAATGCTTCTTATTCTATTATTTACTTTTACTAATGTAGTACCCAAGCTGTGGCTCTTAAGTAATAATTGAAGTTAGGAAGGTATCAATAGCTTAAAATACTGCTTTTGAAGGGGTTTCTTGATTGTGTTGGAATTTTTTCCTCTTACGGAAGTTATAATGTTCCAAAGGTATAATATTCCAAAAGAAGTAATAAATTTGTCTAAATTTCCTTTTCCAACTTTTAAAAACTTTTAAATTTTATTTTTAGCCGGTTTGTGCCACCACAGACAAGCTCTGGTAACAGATTTTTGGCACAACAGAACAGTCCAGTGCCTAGTCCATATGCTCCTCAAAGTCCTGCAGGATACATGCCATATTCACATCCTCCAAGTTATACACCACATCCTCAGATGCAGCAAGGTAAGTCCGTGATGTTTGTTTTATTCTCCTATCTCATGTCAGCTTTACCTTCATGTGCATATTTCATGGTGCTCTAATTTCTTTGAAGGAGTAACATGCTTAATGCAAATCTTTGAGTTGATAGGGAACTTTTTGGGTATGTTTAAGCTTTGTTTTACTGACTGTACAGAGTGGTAGTATATACTTTATTTAAAAAAAAAAAGAAGAAATAGTAAAACACATGTTCATGTTACACTGCTCCTTCTCTATGTACACCCATTTTGCATAGTTGTCACGTATACATGACAATAGAAAAATAAAAACAAACCAAAATAATTCATTTGTTAGCTATGGCAATCATTTATCTGTACTAGCGAAAAACTAATTTTTGCCAGTGTAACATAAGTTTTGCTGCCAACTTATTTAGCTTTACCAAATCTTTGTAGTTTAGACTAGCCTAAGTTGGCTAGAATTATGCTCAAGGTATGCAGTAACTGGCAAAGATGACCTTCAGAATGAATGGATTTCTTTGTTCTTCCCTTTTCTAAAAAAAATCTTGGAGAACATGAACACTGTTAAGTATCTAGGCAATTTTTTTGGTAAGTAGAATTCTCGTTGTATTCTTTTAAAACATCTGTTCTTAAAGTTTAGCAACATGCTTAGAATTTATATAGCTGTTCTATATGCAATGTTGTGTGTCTCATGAATACCTTGGAAGTTACTAAAGGTAGTGAATAAAAATTCTAAAGAGGAAAATAGTTTTGTATAACCTATAAGAATATGATACTGACTGTAATGAGGATAGATGTGGAGAGAAGCTTGGCTAATCTGTACATGGAATTTAGGTTTTAAATCCTTGAAAATTCAAATCTTAGATAGCTGATTTTATTCAAGGTATTTGTGGCAAAAAGATTCAATCAAGAAAGTTGGATTCTTGTTCAGATTCCAGACCTCTTGCATCCAACTCGTTAATATCTACTACTATGGTATTTTCTGTGAAATTTTAAAAAACTTAACAACTGTGTGAATATATCAGTATAGTTATTTATATTTTTTTTAAATTTCAGCTTCAGTATCCAGTCCCATTGTCACAGCTGGGATGAGGAATCTCCATGAAAATAAAGTTTCAAGTCAGTTGTCTGGAAATTCAGCTAATCATCATGCTGATAATTCTAGACATGGCTCAAATGAAGACTACCTACAGATGGTGCACAGGCTAAGTAGTGATGTATGTTACCTAGATCAGTTTATTGTGATAAAGCAAATATTTACTATGAAAACGCAAGTATGAGTTTAGCTGCCTTAGAAGTCAGATATAAATAAAACCACTGAAAATATATTTCAGTTTCAGATGTGTACACTCAACTGTGCGACTTTAATGTGTGAGTTTTAATTTTTTCTAGATCTCTCTTTTGGAACAGTTTGTAACATTGATTCTGATGAAATTATGAAAAGTAAAAAATCTTACTCATATGTGAGTTTACTTTAAAGAAATGGTAGTGTCTCTGCAATTATTGTAGCAATATGTTGATGCAAAAAATACTAGATTCTAAATAGGTGTGTAGTTACGTTGTCTTTCTGATGATTCCCATAACTGTCAATTAGACTTGACATATTTGAATAACCTATTGGGTAATATAGTAGTGTTGTCAAAGGCAAAAATTTCTTTTGGCACTTATTCTTACTGGTCTATTATGTGTTTCTATGGCCTGGTTCCTTCCAAAAAGTGTTGTATTCAACAAATGTACTTTTAATACCAGGCTCCCTATATCTGTTACCAGGATACTAGAACTCCAAGATAGTTATTAGTTTTATTAGTAATCTTTTTTTTTTTTACTGCAAGAATTATGCTGATTAAAAATATTAGCCAAGAAGTAGTATCTTAAACAAGAGATTTTTGAAATGAAGAAAACTATCATAATACATAGTCATCAGATTTTTTTCCTCATTCTCTGCTTCAGCAATGCAAATTCTTCAAAATAAGCAGCTGTTCTTGACATTAAGTGTACGTATATCCCCCAACTATGTTAAAGGTATACTTACAAGAGAATCTTGGTTTTGCTAAGACAAGATTTTTTAAAAACTTTAATGTTATTATAATTTATTTTACAGTAATTAAAGAGGAAGTATTTAAAAATATTCACCCCTAATTTTGTGATCCAAGCAATGCAACCACATCCTAGTTCATGAGAACTTAGAAATGAAACTCATTCAAAACTGACAGACTATGAAAATGTAAAACATACCATCATTGTTCTGTTTAATTGGAGAAATACTGAAGATAAAAAGTAATTATACCCTTAAAAGCTGATTATAATAGCTATCATGCAGAAAACAGTTTGAAGAAATCTGTTTAATTAAAATTTTACATCTGTCTATGAATAATATGCTTAATCATAATCTTGCAGCCTTTTCAGAAGCAGTGTGACCTTTGGCACAGATAGTTATTAATGAGGATTATTAAATCATAAAACTTAAAAACTGTAATTATTGTTTAATCTTTTTCTTAGTTTTAGGATTTTGTTGCTTTAAAAACTATGAATAGTTACAGGATACTGTGTATTTGTAATATATTATTTTACAAAATCAGCAAGTATACCCTTGAAGGCTCACTGCACATATACTCAATTTAAGGACCATTTTTTTATAAACTCAATAACATTCCTAGAATATAAGTTCGTGCTTACATTTGATGAAGTTCTGAACTAGGAAGCAGTAAATGAACATTTCTGAAAATTAGCCGGCTACAGTAGGAATGGTATGATTACCTGAAAGGTCATATACATAGTTATTCTGTTCAGTTAATTTAATAAAAGTCAACTTTGCCTGTGTCCTTGGCAATTATGGATAGAGGATGTCTCCTGTCCTAATAAAACATATATGTTAAAAAGTTACTAAACTTTTTTTTGTTTTAATATTTGGAGGGTTTTGAGGTTTATTACAATTTAAAGATGAGTCAGGTTTGAAAAAAATCAGCTCTATAATTTCAGAGTAACTTGTACATCAGGAAATTAATTCATTTAAACACATCCAAGTTTAAGGTATGGGGTTTTTTTATTGCATTGAATCTGAATATTAGATTTCTTTGCACGAGGCTTTCCTCACGTGAGGCAACAAGTCTTTTAGCAAGCACTGTTGCAAAAATAAGTATAATTAATAGCACAGCCTGACTTTTAAATTAATTTTGCTGTGGGAGGGGAAAAATTGAATAGAATTGTTTTGTAAGTGCCCGTGAATGGTGAAACTGATGAAATTTGGTTTCTTATGGATTTATATTCTTTGCCTTGTAAGCACCTTCAGTCCATAAATATCAAACCTTTTTTCCTTTTTCCTAAGCAGTGTGAACTATGCCTTCACAAAGTGTAACGTATATGGTGGCTAGTCTACTGCTATGCATGTGGAAATCAGCTGTTTGGCTATTATGAGAGGGAGGGCAACTACATGTTGCCATGCTATCTCAGCTGCTTCAATGGGAGTGCTACAGATTTTGTTCAGTCCTGATGTGTGTATGCTGGAGGGTATAAATACAAAATGTTAGTTTGCTTAACTGTAAAAGTAAGATGGCATTTTAATAAATTTTAAGAGTAGGTTAAGTGAAAAAAATGTTTGTTATAAAAAATCTACTTTTTATACTCAATTTTTAGTTGGTATTGTATAGAGTTAATCTTTCTGCTCTTTACTATAAGTGCATGTAACAAAAATCTTCTAAATGGAATCTTTATCTTAACCAAAACTGCTTATTTAGCTAGAAGACATATACATAGATTTATTTTTGTGTGCATGTTCTGGTTCTAGATTCTTCTTAAGGCTGATTGTTCTCTGTAATGTTGCCTATATAGTAGTCTAATAGCAGTCTAGTCTACAAAGATTTTTTATATAACCAAAAATTTTTGTAATATTTGTTGTATGCTTTTTCATCCAGTCAATTTTATCAGTATATGTACTAATTTCGGTCTTTATCAAGTGTTCATGTTCATAATGTTAATTTTTTATCATTGTCACTTTAGGATGGCGATCCTTCAATAAGGAATGCTGCATCTTTTTCTTTGAGATCACCACAGTCAGTCTGCTCTCCAGCTGGAAGTGATGGACCCCTTAAAGGTAGTCTAGCAGTCACATATACATCAATGTATTTTTTTCCCAGTTTTAAAGAACAGAGTTTAAAGAGGTCTTTAGTTAGTTCTCCTGACTTCTGTATTCCAATAGTACTAAAGAATATATCATTAAGTTTTGGATACAAAATTATTTTGAGCCCTGATCCAGAAAAAATTTCTGAATGTCCAAAAACTGACTAATCATACTTCAGAACAAAGATGAAATTCATAGAGGACAGAAGAATTTTAAATCCTTTCCAATATGAGGATTACAATCTTTATAAGAATAGTTTCAGTTACTCTACATAAGAAGTGGTTTATAGGCAGCATTACAAGTGTTGAACTCTTAACCAGCTCAAAAGTGTTTTAACATGCAACACTTGTCTTGATTGCAATCATCAAATTTTAAGAATGTAAAATTATAAGTAGTTCAATACAATATATATGTAGCATAAATGAAACCTGAAAACCTTAGCTGTGGAGAAGGAGTAGGATGAACTGTCTGTCAGTCAGCTGAGAAAATAATTCTTTTTGCTAAAATTTGGAATGCATACTGCTGGTTTTAATACTGAAGCAATGACTGAAATACATGAGACTTAAAAGGTAGGTGTTTGGGCATATTCTTGCTAATTTAGGTTTTCAGTGCTTACGTGTTTACATGGCAATAGTAAAAAGATGCAACCGTGGTTTCTTCTCTTTAGCCCTGAAACAAAATTGAGTCTTTCTGGATAGTTAGGTTAGGTGGAGAGGGAGAACAGGAGATGGGGGAGATTCTAGAGAAGGTGAGAGTATTGAGCTTGTGCAGCCTGGATAAGAGATGTCTTTGGAGGAAGGGGGAGAGGGGGAACAAATGGGACAGCACACAGTGGACAGGCATGACCTTAGAGCAGTCTTCTCATACCTATGAAGTGATTATCAGGAAGACTAGAGTCAGGGTTTTCACAGTGTTGTGGAGGAAGGATGAGACACAATAGACTTAAATTGAAATGGGATGTTCTGACTAGGTATAAGGAAAAACTTTTTCAATGTCAGGACAGTTGAGCATTGGAAAAGCCCAGAGAATCTGTGCATTTTACATCCTTGGAGGTTTTCAAGACCAGGCTGGATAAAGCCCTGCATAATGTGGCCTTGCTCATCCTACTTTGAGGTCCCTCCTGAGGTCCCTTCTTAACTGAATTATTCTATGATCCTGTGACTGCTGAATGATCTCTGTTGTTCGTCTTCTGTAGGCATATACTGTGTTAAACAGTGATAGAAGAAATGTGGCTCAAATGCAAGTGAGAAATACTCGTATAGCATGCTAGCAGCATCAGTATTTTAGATCTTGTGGTAAAAGACTTGTTGTAAGACTTGTGTAAATGTTGGACTAAATGTGTTTTTTCTTTAACTCAGTACACAAAATCCATGTTTGTTGAGCTTATCAGTTTAAAAACACTGTGAATCTAATCTACTTCTAATCAAATATATGATTACCACTCAGCCAGAAGAATATTTGAATAATTCTTTTGCTTAAAGTTGCTGCTGTTTCAGTTGGTTGTCTCTGAACCTGTTTTGAAGGGATACCTTTTGAGATTATTTCTGAAAACAGTCTGATTGTATAATTCAGATTGTAACATTTCAGCATTAGAGGGACTGAAAAAGTGCAAAAGGACCTTTTTAATTTGTTTACCTCTACGTTTGCTTTACTTTTCTCATTGATAAAGCACACTGAATTACTGTTACTAATGGTGCTATTATTTTGCCTTCTTAAAGAGATTCACAGAATCACAGAATGCTTTGGGTTGGAAGGGACCTTTAGAGGTCATCTAGTCCAACACCTCTACACTGTGCAGGGACATCCTCAACTAGATCAGGTTGCTCAGAGCCCCATCCAACCTGACCTTAAGTACTGAAAGGTCTCAAAAAGGTTTCCCCACAGCCTTCTCTTCTCCAGACTGTACAACTCCAGCTCCCTCAGCCTGTCCTCATAGGAGAGGTTCTCTAGACCTTCCATCGTTTTCGTGGCCCTCCTCTGGACCCGCTCCAACAGATCAATGTCCTTTTTGTGTTGGGGACTCCAAAGCTGGATGCAGTACTCCAGGTGAGGTCTCACCAGAGCAGAGCAGAGGGGCAGAATCACCTCCCGCGACCTGCTGGCCACACTTCCTTTGATGCAGGATGCTGTTGGCCTTCTGGGCTGCAGATGCACATTGGTGGCTCACGTCCAACTTTTCATCCACCAGTACCCCCAAGTCCTTTTCCTCATGGCTGCTCTCTATCATGTCATCCTCCAGCCTATATTGACACTGAGGGTTGCCACTACCCAGATGCAGGACGTTGCACTTGGCCTTGTTGAACCTCATGAGGTTCACACGGACCCACTTCTCCAGCTTGTCCAGGTCCCTCTGAATGGCATCCCTTCCCTCTGGCATGTCAGCTGCACTATTCAGCTTGGTTTCATCTGCAAACTTGCTGAGGGTGCCCTCGATCCCACTGTCTATAACATTGATGAAGATATTAAACAGCACTGGTCCCAGTACGGACCCCTGAGGGACACCACTTGTCACTCATCTCTATCTGGACATTGAGCCGTTGACCGCTTCCCTCTGGATGCGACCATCCAACCAATTCCTTATCCACTGAATGGTCCACCCATCAAATTGATATCTCCGCAACTTAAGAGAGAAAGATGTTGTGGGGGACCGTGTCAAAGACCTTACAGAAGTCTAAATAGATGACATCCATAGCTCTTCCCTTGTCCACTGATGCAGTTACCCCATTGTAGAAGGTCACTAGGTTGGTCAGGCAGGACTTGCCCCTAGTAAAGCCATGCTGGCTGTCTCGAATCACCTCCCTGTCCTCCATGTGCCTCAGCAGAGCTTCTAGGAGGATCTGTTCCATGATCTTCCCAAGCACAGAGGTGAGGCTGACAGATCAGTAATTTCCAGGGTCCTCCTTTCTACCTTTTTTAAAAATGGGTGTGATATTTCCCTTCTTCTAGCCACCAGGGACTTCACCTGACTGCCATGACTTTTCAAATATCATGCAGAGTGGTTGGCAACTACATCAGCCACTTCCCTCAGGACTTTGGGATGCATCTCATCAGGTCAAATAGACTTGTGTATATTCAGGTTCCTCAGATGGTCATGGACCTTATCTTCCTTTACAGTGGGAGGGATTTTACTTACCTGGTTCCCATCTTGTGGACCATTGACTCAGGAGGGGTGAGGAGAGAGGTTGTCTGTGAAGACTGAGGCAAAAAAGTTTTGAGAACCTCAGCATTCTCCTCATCTGTTGATAGTAGCTCACCATTCATAAGCTCATAGCTTATCAGGGGAGGATGCTTTCTTCAATTTTCTTTTTCTGATTGACATACCTGTAGAATCCCTTCTTGTTATTTGCATCCCTTGCCAAGTTCAGCTCCAGACGAACCTTGGCCTTACTGACCTGGGCAGCGTCCCTATACTCTTCCCAAGCTACCTGTCATTGCTTCCACTGCCTATGCAGTTCTGTCTTGCTCTTTAGTTTGATCAGCAGGTCTCGACTCAGCCATGCTGGTCTCTTGCTTTCCTTGCTTGATTTCTCACACCTGGGAACTGAGAGCTCTTGCACTCTGTGGAAAGCCTCCTTAAAGATCTGCCAGCTCTGTTCTGCTCCTTTGTCCTTGAGGGCCATTTCCCAGGGGGGTCCTCTTGACTAACTCCTTGAAGAGCTGGAAGTTGGCTTTCCTAAAATTCAGGGTCCTGACTATACTGCTCACCTGTCCCATATCCCTGAGGACTGTGATCTCCACCAGTGCGTGATCACTGCAGCCCAGGCTTCCTCCAATCTTGATATCCCTGATGAGCTCACTCGCATTGGTGACCATCAGGTCCAGTATTGCATCTCCTCGAGTAGGGCTGTCTGTTTCCTGGATTAGGTTATCCTCAATGCATTCCAGGAGTCTCCTGGATTGCCTACAGCTCGCCATGTTACTTTTCCAGCAGATGTCAGGGTGTTTGAAATCCCCCAGCAGGACGAGAGCCTGTGAGTGCAATGCCTCCTGTAGCTGGAGTAGGAACGATTCATCAGTAGGCTCCCCTTGATCAGGTGTCCTGTAGTAAACACCAACCACAAGGTTCCCCTTGTTGACTTGGTCTCTAATTCTTACTCATAAGCTTTTGACCTGCTCATGGTTATTCTTCAGGGACAGCTCTTCACACTCTAGCCATTTCTTGATATAGAGGGTAACGCCTCCGCCCCTCCTTCTTCTCTTGTCCCTTCTGAACAGCTTGTAGCCATTGATAACCACACTCCAGTCATAGGATTCATCCCACCAAGTTTCAGTAATGGCAATGAGGTCATAGTTTTCTAGCAACATAATAGCTTCCAACTTAATGAACCCTGACTGAGAGAACCAGTTCTTGATGCTTCAAGAATCTTGCCAGACATTTACTAATCTTGCATTTTAGAAACGTATTGAAGAGGTGTGAATAATTACAGCATTTCTTAGAATATGTGATCCCTGACACTGACTGTTTGGGCTGTGATTTGGAGTGATAGAGATTGGTTATGCTGAGAAATTTTCCAGTGATGAACAAATAGCAAGTATCTATGCTAAGTTTTTGGTTGCTACTCTTATTAGTCCTTGAAAGTTTGATTGACAAGTGACAAACTTTGATTAAGAAAATTAGCAAAATATTTGAGTGTTTGTTTGGGAGGACAAAAAGAATGGCATGAAACATCATCAGTGCAGAGAAAGATTGCAGGAAGTATGTTATTATATCTAAGCTTTCTCATATAACATAGAAATGTGAGGCAATTACCAAAATACAGGCTGCATTTCTGTACTTCTGACAGGAAGTAGCAAGGACTTCTGGAGACTTGAGAACGTGATTGTACAGCCTTGAATTACTTTAAGACTGAACAATAACTGTCTGATTGACAGAATCTGAATGAGGAAGAAGTTTCATTTGCAACTCAGGCAAATATTTGAGAGATGGCAGAAATTATATTTGTTCTTTTGGTTTGTTATTCACTTAGTGGAAATTTTTGCCTCACTTCTGCTCCAGTAAAGGTACCAGAGCAGCTGAAGTTTTATCCAGAAGGTCTAGGCTGGTCTTCATCCTTTCATTTTTATTTAAATTTTATACTTTAGCTATACAAACAGAATAGTGGCTCTGCTTTCATGCTACCATTTTTTACCACATCTGCTTTCATAGAAAATTCATTTCTATGAATTCATCTACAAAGAATTAACATGAAATATTTTCTTCTGTTGAGCTCATCAAATATTCTGTGGTATCCATTACCCAAAATCAATTACTCATCAAAATCCTTTATCCATTTGTTCTACTTTCCCACTACTCTGGAATCTCCGAAAATATTTTTTTTTCTTCCCACTTAAGACAACTTCTAAATATCTGTATAAGGGAAAGCCTTCCACAATGTTTTTAGTCCATTGCTTTCCAAAGAGAAGAGTTCATATATTTACAGTCCTGTTTCCATACAGTTTCCTAAACTCCTGGGAAAACAGCTGTAAGGAATAGCAACAACAATTATGAAACTATATAATTTTCCTCTCTTTTCAGAAATAAGTTGTATTCCCTCCAGAAATTGTTAATGGGTACTTGATTATTCTCTGAATAATTTGGAAAAATTACTTTTATTTTCTAAGGATTTATAGGACTTCTCCAGAGAGATTCCTCTACACTTGTTTTTTGTATGTATAGTGGGTGGCAAGAAGAATTAGAAAGCTTCTCAAATCTTTAGTACAGACTTCAGGGCTTTGAAAGGTACTTGTAAGAGGAATTATCATCTCACCCTCTGTCCTTCAAAAGAAAGGTGGAAGAAATTTATTCAAAGATATTTTCTGACAGGGCCAAAATAAACATTCATTCTTGTTTCTTTCTTCAAGTCTTACCTTTTTACGCAAGGATGCTTCTGAATACAGCAGTTCTAAGCTAGAGCAGCCAAAGCTGAGGTTTTTCATGAGACATTTGAAGCTCTAGAGGAAGTGATGGGACTTTTCCCTGAAATTATTGAAAGAGTATGTGGAAAGTGAATGTGATCTGTCCCAAAAAACCTCCCAAATGAATCTTGTTCTTTGTCTCATATGCTATCCCTTTAAGTTTGAATTTTAAATTAAGTA